AGCCTAATTGACAGAGCAAGACCCTGTTTCAACAACAACAAAAAAAGACCAGTACAAGTAGTAAAAGACACACGTGTTGAAAAGGAAACAATAAAATTGCCATTATTCACATACAACATGATTTTCTAGATAGAAAATTTCAAACAAGTTATCACACCTATTGAATGATCTAGTTACTACAAGGTTAATATACAAATTCAATTATGTTTCTATTTTCTAGCAGTAAATAATTGAAAATTGTTATATATCAGTGCCATTTATAATGCCATCAGAAATATAAATGATTTGTGGATAAGTCTAACAAAATATATATGTGATTTTTAAACTATAAATAACTGATGAGAGTAAATGAGTACTATTTATAAAAAGAGAGATATACTGTGTTCATGGATTAGCAGACTCCATATTTTCTCCCCAAATTGATCTAAAAGTTCAATGCAAGCACAATAAAATTCCCAGCAGAATTTTCTGTAGAAATTAACAAGCTGATTTAACATTTATATGAAAAATCAAAGAACCTAAAGCAATCTAGAGAAAGAAGAAAGTTTGGAAACAGATATTGATATCACCTTATTTCAACACATACTATAAGACTACATTAATCAATACAATGTGGTATTGCAATAAATACAGACATAGACCACTAAAACAGAATAGATAATACAGAAATAACCCAACACATACAAAATAATTCTGTTTCAATAAAGATGCCAATGTATTCCCATAGAAAGGGAAAAGTCATTTCAACAAATGATGCTGGTATAATTATACAATAATATGCAAAAACAAAATAAAACAGGAAATAATCTTGAAAAATCAACTTTAAATGCATTATAGAACTTAATGTAAATCCTAAATTATATACAGAAGATAAATTTAACCAAGGATTAGACATTTTTAAAGATAGAACACAAAAAGAATGAGCCATAAAGAAAAAAATTAATAATTTGGGCCATTTCAAAATCAAAACCCCTCTTGGAAAGGCACTACTAAAAAATTAAAAGATAAAACATAGATTGAAAAAACATTAATCAAACATATATGACAAGGGACTCGTATATAGTATATATATAGATGTATTTATATATATAATTATCATTCAATAAAAACCCATAAAAATGGGCAAAAGATGTTAGTACTCAGTTCACTGAAGATGAGATATAGATAGTAAATAAATCCATGATAAGAGGCTCAGCATTATTAATCAGGGAAATGAAAATTAAAACTACAATGCTATATCACTATATACCTATAAAGGTGGTTAAAATTAAAAATAATGACAATACCAAGTTTCTACAAAAGCAAGGATGTGAGGATAATGGAACTCTCATTTATTGCTGGCTAGAATACAAACTGATATAACAACTTTGGAAAACAGTTTTTTCAGTTCTTTATAAACTTTAATATACATTTACTATATAACCCAAAATCTCAGTCCTAAATTTACCAAGAGAAATAAAAACGTGGTTTCACACACACAAAAAAAAATTGTACGTGGACATTTATGTTGGCTTTATTCACAATCACCAAAAATTGGAAATAACTCAACTGTCTCTGAAATGGCAAATGGATAAACAAACAAGTAATCTATAATGGAGTATTACTCAGGAATTTTAGGAAATGAACTTTCTGGTTTACACAATAACAGGGTTTATCACAAATGCATTATGCTAAGTGTAAAAAGCTGGTCTTAAAAAGTAACATAATGTATGATTCATTTATTTGATATCATTGGGTAAGCAAAACTATAGGAACAATTCAGATTAATGGTTGCCAAGTGCTCGCTGTGGAGAAGAAGGGTTAATGACAAAGGGGCACGAATGTTTAGAGATAGTGAAACCGTTCTTTATCTTGATTGTAGTGGTGGTAACATGATTATATACATTTATCAAATGTATCACTTATAAATGATAAATTTTATAATATGTAAAGTATACTTTAATCTGATTTTGAAAAAGTGCATTAGACATTAAAAATATCATCTAATAAGCTGGTCAAATAGTTTTCTTCTCTTAATGCACATTAAAAAGAGGTATAAATATCCCTTTGGAAGTATGTGTCAAGAGGCTCTGTATTTCAGAAAAACTTGAGCATCTAATATCATAAATTTTCTCTGATTCAGCTTTCAGCACTCTGGAGAGCACTAAATAAACAGTCTTTCTGAATGACTATTTATAGTTCTTGCAGCACAAAGCTTAGAAACTATTGACTGGAAAGTGGAGAGGGGAGGTTGCAAACCATAATTTTTGAGAGGGCAGAAACAAGCCCCCAGCACTGTGCTCCATGGCTTAACCTTCAAATTTAAGCACCATCAAGAGGAAATATAGCAAGTGAATCAGGGAACTAGGGGTTCCAACATCTTTGTTTTTATTCTTCCTCATTGATAGCTCACCTCTCCCTATTTTTACCTCTCTCTTCCTCTCTCTCTCTCTCTCTCTCTCTCTCTCTCTCTCTCTCTCTATGTCTGCTACAGTAACACACACACACACACACACAAACACATACACACACGTACACATGTATCAGTATTACATATACTAAAACTCTGGACATTCTTTATTCTCACAAAAGCATAAACATCTTGAAAGAGATTTATTTGGATTTTTAAAAGGTCAATGGATTAAGCTTTAGCTACTAGATTTCAATCACATTTGAAATCAGGTTAGAGGGAAAGTGTTTGCCTTAACTTGGCCAATCCCCTAACCACAAAGCAGACCATTTTTATTCACCTTCATATTATTATCAAACATACACTGAACTCTGGAAAGATGCACAATGTTGCCTGGCAAATCAGGGGCTTGTAAAGCTAATTTACTGAAATACAGATATTATTCCAAAGGATTTGACCACTAATGTAATGCTTGTGCTATGAAGCCAATTGACCAATTCTCTTCTGCTCTTGGAAATATATTTGGAAAATATCAAGGATTTCAGTAGGCAAAAGGCTGATAATACTTAGAAATCCAGGGCCCCAAAATAATAATTTTAGGGATGACCTGCTCACTTTGTGTTAATTGTAAAATAAATAAGCTGTGAAATCATAGTTAAAGGGTAAATTAATTGTAAACTAAATAATCCATTAAACCACATGGAGGATGGAAGCACATAGTAATATCAGAACTGTTCTGCTCTCGCTGCAACTCATTCTCCTTTACTTTCTGCACAGTCCTCTTAAGAACAGAGAGAGTATACACATGTGTCCTTGGAAGTCAAGCTCTTCGTCAGAACTCCTGGGGCAGGGTTTATATTAAAAATGCAGATTTCCAAGATGACCCATTGGGATTCTGTTTCATTTAGGCCGGGGAGAACCTTGAGATTCCTTCAAGGATTCATTCACATGATTCTGATATTTAGCCAAATTTGGGGAATGTTGCTGTTATTCTTTGCCTTTCCTGTATTCTTTGCCTTTCGGTAGGCAAAGGCTGATAATACTTAGAAATCCAGGGCCCCAAAATAATAATTTTAGGGATGACCTGCTCAGAGGAAAAGGAGCTAACAACTAACATTAAATAAAGGCATTGAACAGGTATTTCACACATATTGAAAGAATCTCTCAGTTGGGTTTCATCTAGATCAGAATATATTATTTGCATGATCTGAGGAGGTGCCTTAGCTCTATACATTAAGATAACAACAACCCCAAATTATGACCTACACGGAATCATGTTGCAATTAACTTAAACATGATTCAATTTGCTTCTCAAAAAATGCACCTAGAGTTCAGATTTTAATTTTGATCTTCCTTTAGTAGAAAACCATCTCCTCTATAAAAGTTTCCAAGCTTTTCCAAGAGCATATTTGAATGGATTTATAGGTTTGCTATGTAAACATTTGTTTACGGGAGGCTTTAGAATAGCTCCTATCTATAAGGAAATATTTGTACTGACGCTGATCTACTGATCTTTTGTTTTCCTCATTATTTAATGCTATTCACATTGCTCCTGGAATGGTCACCATCTTATATTTCGAACCCTAACACAAATTACAAAATATTCTCAATCTTTCTGACTGTAATTGCTCAAAATTCTCATTTCATTACAGTTTCATCAAACTTTATTTCTAAGGAGTTTATCTTCCCTCAGTGCTCTCTCTTTGAAAACAAAGAAAGGAAAACTGTGTTCATTTTGTTCCCTAAAATCACATCTTTCTCTCCACTGCACTTTGAGCTGTTTTTCTTTAAGCTGTATTATTTTTCTTTAACCAAGGCTAATGTCTGTTCCGTATTCCAGCAAAGGAATTATTTCAAGATGTAGAATATATGGAAACAAAGAACTTGAGCTTTGAAGTATGATGCTGAGTTTGAATCTGGACTTTTCTGCGATCTGGCTATGTGGCTTCAGGTAAATAATATAATGTATCTAAACAAGGTCCTTCACAGTTCACTCTTCCATCAATAGATAGTTATAGTGCCCTATTACCTACCCCTGTTAACCTTACCAAGTCCCATCTTCTCATCAATCTCACCCCACGCCTTCACCAATTAAGTTCCAATAATAGATAACGAACAAAGCTCAGGTTTCAAAATGTGCCAAGAACTCCCTTGGCTCCAGCTTTTTGCACATGCTTTGTTCCATTTGCCTAGAATACTTTCACCACCACCTCCTCCACTTAGCTAACTCCCACTACAAAATAATGCTCAGTGGTATTTCAGTGCAATAAATAAACGAAAGCTAATATATGATTGTGGAATCAAAAAAGGAGATATCTTCCCAAAGGAGATAAATCTCAAAGAATGTGTAACCATATTGGGCAAATTGAGAAGTGAAATCCATACAGAAAATTAGCCCAAGCAAAGGAATGGGATAAGGGGGGGGGGGTGTGTGCCGTAGGAGAGTAATAAGAGTTGAGGAGAATTCTTATGCGAAGGAGGGTATTATCTGAGCAGGACCAATAATAGCTCTTGGCCACAGAAAAGCCATAGGTCAACTACAAAATACATCTTTGGCTAGGTTCCAAGACCCAGAAAATTTTTTCCATAAAGATACAACCCCTTCCCTCACCTGCTTCCTGCTGTGTCCCAAGCCTCCATTCTACGTAGCTCTTTATGACTCAGCTGAAGGACTGGCCTGGCTTTGGATTGCAAGCTTTTTGTGAAAAGATGTCTCACATCACAGCCTCAAAACCACTCACTGCTGCCTGTAGTAAAAATTGCTCACTGTTACATTTTGGCTAACCTGAAAATATGCACACGAGATCCCAGTGAGAAGCCTGAGCTCCCTCCTATCGGGCATGGGGATGAGGTGATTCGAGTGATCCAGTTATGTATCAACTCAGCAATCAAGTTTAAATTAGAAAATAATTCTAAACAACTTAATTTTTAACTAATTAACTTGATTTTGACTTAGTCTTTTTTAAATTTACTGTAATTATTAGCTACCGGTATATAACTATAATTTATATAGGAAACTTCTACAATTTCAATGCCTCTTATGGATAAATTTGGCCACAAGCCTACCACAAGTATTAAGATAATGTTCCTAGTGAGTATTTCTCAGTTTCAATAATCTACAATAAATTGTGTGTTTGTGAGCTCCGCTATGTGCTTAGAGGTCATATGTGAAGTATTAGGCAGGAGACTAAGAATATTCTATTTCCCAAATGAGCAATTAGCCCAACAATCTGCCACACCCCGATCTTGCAACTTCAGGAGGGTATTTCACTAATCCTACCTCAAACATTCCCTTTTATTATTCAAAAATACGTATAGGCCAGACTCCAGAAAAACTGATTCAACAGGTGACACAGAAAACTATATGGAGAATGGCCTGACGCATAGAGCAGTTCCTTCCTTTGGTTACACGTGCTCAAGGACACTGACCCATCAAGGGTGTTTAGTGTTGTTTGTATGATAGAACAGTGGATGATTGGTGATTTGCTAAATTTTGTGCTGAAACAGAAGGTTAATGAAAAAATACAATGTAACTTTTTCCCTCAACTTCTCTTTTTGTGCCCGTCTTGAAGAGACATTAGAGAGGTCCCAGGGACCTATGTGAACTAGGTGAGTTTTGCTTCAGCATCCTCCCACCTCCCCACCAAACCCTCTTTCCATGCCTGATTCCTGCCTTGATGGATGCTTATAGTCTCATCTCTCTTGTGGTTAAAACCAGGAGAGGATCTACTGTCAGTCATTCGCCCCTTAGTTTAAATCTTGCTTGCAACTGCAAAGCCTTAAATCAAATTGGAATGAAATGTTTTGTTTCCTGCTGAAGGAATTTAAAACATCACTTAAAACAAAGTTTGAGGGGCAGAGAACTTTCTCAGGACCCCAGAAATTATACTGCATGAGCAGTTAATAATGTATTTTATTTAAATAAAGAATTATCTATTAGATGGTATTTTTTAAAGGTATTTTTGCAAGTTTTAAGCTCTTGAGACCTTTGTCAAACTGAATCTTTTATTCAATACATTACTGCAAAAATAAATGTATTTAATAGTATCAATCTAAAAACACTGAACTTGTATATTTGGCCAAAAGTGATAATAAAGTGAAAGAAGGTCACCAACTGACAGCAACTTTTCACTTTTTAATAATCACCTCTGTTACAAATCTAAACTACTGAACCATCCACAGATTATTGACCCAGCATTTTTTAAGTTTCATAAGAAATTCGTCTCCTGCAAATTGAATTATTATTCTGAAACTAGTCATTGTTAGGAAACTAAATCATTTTAAGGAAAAAACCTAATTCTAAAGAAAACTGTAGAAGATAGGGAAAGACAAATGAAATTATTCAAAAGTTTTTTTTTTGTAGATACTCTCTTGAATAATGTATTATCTTGTTATACAAGCAATATATGATAATTGTATAAAAATTAGAAATAAGAAAAATCACCTTAATCCCACCCTCCAGAAATAACTATTGTTGACACTTTGGTATATAGCCCTTCATATTTTTCTACACATAATATATCTATATTACAAATTAGATCATACTATGCATATTATTTTTAATCTGCTTCATTCACTGAATAATATATCATGCACATCTCCCTCTGTCAACAAATATAAATATAAACAGATTAAGGATATTTTGGTACTCCAATATGTGAATATTACACATTAGCATGTATTTACTCATTCCTTGTCTTTGGACATTTTAGTTGTTTACAAATTTTTCTATTTTATATACGATAAAACTATGACTATTCCTGAATAGGAAACATCCTATTCATTAACTATGCTTGGGTACCAGAATATAGCATGTTTTACCTATCTGAAAACCACTTAACCAGTAAACTCAGATATTTGAAGATATATAAATCAAATATTTTCTAAACACATGTTCTTTGATCATGAAGGAAATCCTCAGTTCTTTGCTCAGCACTGTGTTATTTTATTCAATGCACAATTGGAACTAAATTTTTTTTCTATCCTTCAAAAAATGCAAACAGAAGAGAAATAACAGCCAAGATGTTATTAGCAATAATTGCACTAAATTCAAAATGCGTTTTGACTAATGCTTTTAGTGTTAAGAAAAACATTCAATAATAATAATGATTAATGTAATTTAAATATACATAAAATTCACTGGTTATTTTCCATGTGACAGATACTGTTCTAAGAGGTTTACATTTACCATACCATTTAACCCTGTGAGATAACAGTATAATTATCTCCATTTAACAAATGAGAAAATTAATGCTAAAAGCAGATAAGTACCTATATTCTTCTTTGAAAATTAATTCATTTTTAATTGATACTTTGTACATATTTATGGGGTAAAATTTGGTGTTTTAATAGATATCTATGTTGTATAATAATCCGATCCAATCAGGGTAGTTAGTGTGTCCGTCACCTCATATAGTTATCATTTGTTTGTGGTAAGAACATTCAAAAGCTTCTCATCTAGCTAATTTGTAACATACGATATTTTACTGTTAACCATAGTCATTCTAATGTACAACAGAATACCAGAATTTATTCCTCCTATCAAACTATAGCACATACCTACCCTTTGCTTGGCCTCCTGCCAGTCCCTGGTAACCACTGTTCTACCCTCTGCTTCTGTGATGTCACTTTTTTTTTTTTTTTTTTCCGATTACATGTTTGAATGAGATCATGCAGTATTTGTCTTTCTGTATCTGGCTTATTTCACTTAACATGATATCCTCCAGGTTTATCCATGTTCTCACAAATGACAGAATTACATTCTATTACATGACTGAATAGTATTCTACCACATTTTTTAAATCTACTCATCTGTTGTTGTACACCTAGGTTGATTCCATATCTTGGCTATTATAAATAATGCTGCCATAATACAAGAGTGCAGATATTTCTTCAACATATTGATTTCATTTCCTTTGTATATATACCCAGTATTAAGATTGCTGGATTGTATAGTTCTATTTTTAATTTTTTGAGGAAATTCCATAGTTTTTCATAATGACTGTACTAGTTTAATTCCACCAACAATAAGTGAAAATCCTTTTCCAGTCCAATGCCACGAAGTCATTTCCCTATGTTTTCTTTAAGCAGTTTCATATTTCAGGTTTTACATTTATTTAAGTCTTTAACCCACTTGAGTTATTTTTTGTAGATGATAAGAGGTAGAGGTCTAGTCTCATTCTTCAGCATGTGTATATCCAATTTCCCAGCACCATTTAATGAAGAAATTGTCTTTTTCTCAATATGTGTTCTTGGATCCTTTGTCTAAAATCAGTTGACTGTAGGTGTGTGAATTTATTTTTGGATTGTTTATTCTGTTCTATTAGTTCTATTTTATTCTGTTCTAGTTTATTCTGTTCTATTAGTTCTATTCTGTTCTATTAGTCTAGATGTTTGTCTTCTATGACAATACTGTGCTCTTTTGGCTACCATAGCTTTGTAGTATATTTTGAAGGTGGGTAGTGTGATGCCTCCTGCTTTGTTCTTTTTATTCAAGATTGCTCTGGCTATTTAGGGTCTTTTGTGATTTCATGTGAATTTTAGGATTTTTTTCCTATTTCTGTAAAGAGCTTCATTGGCATTCGATAGGGATTGCATTGAATTTATAGATCACATTCGCTAGTTTGGACATTTTAACAACATTAATTCTTCCAGGTCATGAACATAGGACATTTTTCCATTTATTTGCATCCTCCTCAATTTCTTAGGCAGTATATAGTTGAGTCTTGATTTTTTACCTATTAAACCGCTCTATATCTTTTAATTAGATAATTTAATTCATTTATATTCAAAGTTATTATTAATAGATAAGGACTTACTCCTACCATTTTGTTAATTGCTTTCTGGTTGTTTTGAAGATTGTTTGTTTCTTTCTTCCTCTCTTGTTGTGTGCCTCTGTGATCTATTGGTTTTCTATGATGCTAAGCTTTGTTTCCTTTCTCTTTCTCCTTTGTGTATTTGTTATGATTTCTTTCTTTTTGTTTACCATGGAGCATATGTAAAGAGTCCTGTAGTTATAATAGACCATTTTAAGGTAATAACAACTTAACTTTGGTTGCATAAAATTTGATTACTTGTATGCTTAGGAAACAGTGAGGAGACACAGTAAACATAATTTGACAACCAATGTATGAACACTGTACATGCACAGTACTATGATTTATATACACAGATCAAAAATTAATGATCTAAATTCCTCAATAAGAGTTAAGAATGATGCTATACATTTAAATATTTCAATCTAAATGAGTTTTAATTCAGTATTTAAATAAATACATATCAGTTTTCTGAAAAATGCTATTGTCTATAATCTATGCTGTCAATCTAAAACTTACTAGCCATATGTAGCTATTGAACAGTTGAAAGGACAGTACTATGACTGTGAAAGTGAATGTTTAATAAAATTAAAATTTTTAATTCACATAATTTAAATGTTAACACTGAAACTATTTTGGCATGACTACATTTCCTTTTAATCTTTGCATAGAATAAGGTAGTATTCTATTGCAGTTCACATGTAGGGAAAGTATACTGTTTCATGTATTACACATAAACACATTACTGATCTAGTTGGTATCAGTGGATTGATTCAATTTGAATAATTTTACTATGCAGAATATGACATTGTGTTTGTTTGAATATTGTATCCAGTCACCATGAGTTTAAGATGATATGCACATAAATCATATTTGGTAATTAAATTAAGGTATTAATTATAATTTTAATTAGAACAAAAATTAATTTTACAGTTCAAAAAATAAGCATGGACACATCTTTAAATTAAAATATAGTCTTGTGATTGATGTGAAATTAAGTGAAGATAACAGATGCTGGTACCATGACAGAAACATCTTTAAATTAAAATATATTCTTATGATTGATACAGAATTAAGTGAAGAAACAAATGCTGGTATTATGATAGAAATAGCAAAGAAAACAGAGACTGAGAGAAGGTATATTATACATTTCACAACAAATGTACATTGCAATTTGCTATATCAGAAAAAAGGAGAAGTATTTTATTGTGTAAAAAATAAAAATAAGAAATTAGAAAATATTAAGAGAAATTTTTAACAAATACCTAGTGAATTTGATAAAAATTGAAAAAGTAAATTCACCTACCCAAGTTATTCTAAACACAGTTTCAAAATTTGTCTGCAACAGTCAAAAAATAAATTAATACTGAAATTAGAATTAAATGTCAAAAAATTTAAATGATTCTAAAGGAAATATGAGCTCATAACTCTGGCAATTTATAGGATAGCTCAGACTGTTGCAAAACAAAGGAATCATTTTTAAATGTAGAGATGGCAAAACAAATTATTATTTCAGTTATAGAAATTTTGTAAGGAAATTAGAGTAAAAGAATGATAGTTTTAAAAAGTGAAAGATCTTCACATAAGTCACTAGATATTTATGTTAGAAAATCAATTGATTCAAAATTTTAAAAATTTTGAAAAATTTTGAAAGTACTTTTCTTTAGCTTTAGATGAATTATACCATATAAGACATAGTACTTGATTAATATTTTAGATTGGTTTTCTCTCAAAGTTTGTACAATTTACAAAATAAGCAAATAATTTACAGCCTATAAAATTGAAACTGTGGCATAGATAAATTCTGAATCTTTTATATCTACCAAAGAAGAACCATAGCTAAATATGAAAAAGTTCATTTCTATCATAACAGATGGTGTTCCAGCTACATTAGGTCAAAATCTAGATTTAGTAGAATTTTTAAACAAGAGACTGATGTTTCCTGTATTGCTGTATTATACTGTATGGTGAATACTGAAAATGTCTGTGTTCAATTTTCTAAAGTAGAACTCTATTTTTTAAAATCTAGATATACATAGAGATATGTATGTGTGTGTGTACAAATGCTATAAATCATTGCCAGTGCATAAGCAATGAAAAGATAAGGAATACAATGAGTTTAATCATCTTGTTTTCTTTGTCAGTGTTCATCGGTTGAGTTCTGAAAGAGTTTTTAAAACATTTACTGTTCTGTTTTCTCTAATTAAAGATTTCTTGAAACAAATGTAATACTCATGAGATATTCAATAATGGAAAACAAAAATTATTAACAGTGCAATTTAATTTTTTCACCAATATAACACTGCATGTGAATGAGTTAAATTTGAAGTTTCAAGGAAATGAAAAGTCGGTTTATGACCTAGCTAGAGAGCTACATGAATTTATGTGTAAATTAAAATTTCTTATAGTATAAATCAATAACAATGCTTTAGTACATTTCTCTAACATTAATCAATATGCAGAAAATTTTCATTGTAATTGACAGCGTTATGTAAATTGGCTGCCAAAATTACAGAAAAAAATTTGATAAAGGTTTTTTTGACATTGATAAATTTGGGGTTTCTTTTTAATTTATGCAGTAATCTTTTGAAGTTAATATTACTGAGTTGACACAAGATAGTAATTTTTAATATGAAAAGATATTTTTAATAGTGATATGTTCTTAAAATTCAAATCAATTCTAAAGAAAATGCATATTGTCATGCATATGAATATTAAAAAAATGATTTTTTGCATAGGCACTTGTTTCATTTATTTGAAAAATTTTAATGTGTTTGGAAAAACTTGGAAAGGTGAATTTACTTTTTAAATTATAAATTTTATGAAATCTAAAAACAAATCATATAGTTCTAAGGAAAATTAATGGTCAAATTGAGATGTACATAGGTAAAAATATATGAAAAACTATTCAAAAAATATTTCAAAGACCTATTACCAAGAAAACAATAAAAATTATATATATTTAAGGTACACAATGTAATGTTTTCATCTCTATATGAATTTGAGTTATGGTTCTACAGTCTTACATTGACTAAAAAAGTTGCATCAGTAACTTTATTTGTATTTTTAAAAATATTTTTGCTTATTACATAAGCCAGTTTTATTGAGGTGTAATTGACAAATTAAAATGTTATATAGTTAAGATGTACAATGATGTTTTGAAATATGTATACATTGTGACATGATTACTACAATCAAGATAATTAACATATCCATCACCTCACATGTTAAGCTTGTGTGCATCTATGGTGGAAACACTTGAGATCAAGTCTTTTAGCAAATTTCAAATATACAATACAGTAATGCTATTACCTATTAACTATAGTCATCTTGCTGTACATTAGATCTCCAGAACTTACTTATCATACATAACAAAACCTTTGCACCCTTTGACCAACATCTCCTAATTTCACCCATTCCCTAGTTCCTGACAACCACCATTCTAATATTTGCTTTTATGATTTTGACCTTTTTAGATTCCACATATCAGTGAGATCATGCAATATTAGTCTTTCTATGTCTGGTTTATTTCACTTAGCATACTGTCCTCCAGATTCATTCATGCCATTGCAAATGGTAGGAACTCATTTTTTAAGGTTGAATGATAATCCATTTTATATATTATATGTACATACTGCATTTTCTGTATACATTCACTCACCAATGGGCATTTAGATTGTTCTATATCATGGCTATGGTGAATAATGCTGCAGTGAACATGGGTGTAAGATCTCTGTGAGATGCTAATTTCATTTCCTTTGGATATAA